TGGTCCAGACTTTTGGAGGTGAACACAATGCAGTCTGTACAGAGACTGATATATGATAATGTACACCTGAAATTTACACAATGTTATAAGCCAATATGACTTCAATAAAGTAATTTTAAAAAACAAGTAAATAAGAAGAGGAAACGAACTAAAGAAAAAACACCCAGTCACCCCTGGGGAGCAAGTAGGATTGACACACGGCGATCCTGGGGTCCTCTGCTGCCCGAATTACGGGAGCTGCTGATGGAGGGTGATGGCTCAGGCAGCAGCACCCGTGTCCCCAGCTGGAACAGGAAAGGGCTCGGGGCTCCCCCACCTCGCAGAAAAGGGAGGAGATGTCTCCCTCTCCTGGCCCCGGAACCACGGATTCCCCTGTCTGCCAGCCCTGTCCTGTGGTGTCCACCCCTGCAGCTCAGGGCCTGGGTCCTGCTGACGCCAGACGCCGTGACCTCAGTGCCAGGGACGGGCCCCCTGCCTTGTCCACGTCCCACACGGCAGGCACTTGAGTGTTCCATGCCACGGCAGGTTCTTCCAGACCCAGTCTCGTGCCTGAGGGCCGCTGTCGCTCCAGCTGGTTACTCAGGTGCTGTGCCTGTTCTGGTTAATTCATTTATTTTATCTTTTGTTAAATAGATTGGCTAGTTTTTCTGATTTCAGAACACTGGTTCACTATGGTTCATTTCTCTGAGACAGAAACCGTTCTGTTAGAATTCACACAGAAGGCACACGTCATCGAGCTAGACTTTACATCATAACACTCACGTTTGCCCCAATTTTTTGTTTTGTGTCACCCCTTTCCTGAAAGAAGCGTGAACACAATGTGTTCTGTGTGTGGTCTCAGGTGGCATCAAGACCCGGGGGAGCAAGCCGACACGTAGGCCCAGACAAGGGCCCCCACACAATGGAGTGGGGGTTCCCAGTGTGTCTGCCGGGCAGGGAGCAGCCGTGAGCAGGGCCTGTCTCGGGGAGATTTCCAGTTACTGCATGTGGGCTCGGTTCTACAGTGTCGCCCAGAGAGGGACGCTTGCGCACAGCCGTGGGGGGCAGTGGTCTCTGCTGTGCCCTGTGAGGTCCCTCCGCAGGGGCCGGAGGGCCTCGGTGCTCCGTGGCTGCGATGTTCACAGCCCTCATCCTGCTGCAGCCACGTAACATGGCGCATCTGGCTCCTGCGGGTCCCTAGGCCCCTTCCCTTCCTCATCTGTCGCCATCGTGTCCCTGGACCTTGGCCAGACAGTATCACCCAGAGGCGCCCCTTGAGTGTGCCGTGCGAGGCCTGCAGGTGGCTGAGTGTGAGCCCAGGAGCCCCCTTCCACCTGCAGGGATGGGGGGCTGCGCTTGCTGTCCAATAAATGAGGAACATGTGAAATGACGGTGCTTCGGGCCCTTCTGTCCAAGGCCCGGTGCTCCCTGCCCCGCGTCACTGCGGAACCTGAGCCACAGGGCAGGTAAAGGAAACGCAGCTCGTGGGGGACAGATGAGGGGCGTGGGCTGTGCTCGTCCTCCAGGCCTGCTGTCAGGAGTCATGTTTTAATTGAGGTCAAGAGGCCTGAGTGGGCAGCAAGCAAGACTCCCGCTGCCTGGTCAGCAGTGGCTCTCCCGGCTGCCCCCTCCTCCCTCTGGGCCAGCTTGTCCCGGCTCCAAATGCAAACAGGCCCTGGATGCCCTCAGGGTGATGGCGAGAGTGTCCGTTGTTGCCACGCTGCGCCGGCGTGGGGTCCCCCGCTCCCGCTGCCCTGCCGAGTCCCATCCTGCGACGTGGTGCACCTGGGCAGCAGTCCGACCCCTGCGCTTCTCCACGCGCTGGCCTCGGTCATCCTGGAATTTGGGGATCGTGCTGGAGTTGTTCATGATCAGGAGCACTTTTCACATGATTCTAGAAGGGTCTCTGCAGGTTTGGGTCTTAGAACTGCTGTGACCAGGGGCCCTGGACAAGCCGCTTCGCTCCTCTGTGCCTCAGGTTCCCTACTTATGGAGCGAGCATGCATGATGTGAAAAAGTGAGAATAAAGGAAGGGCTTTATAAGGGGCTGTGACCTTGGCCGCAGGGCAGGAAGGGCCGGGTGGGCAGTGCAGGGCTCTCGCCACTAGACACAAAGCGGGTCAGGTGCGTGAGGCGCCAGGGGAAGGGGGCAAAGTGCACGCTGGGCAGTGGGGGGGCAGGTAGAGGGGAGGGCATAGCTGGACCCCATCACAGCCACTAAGCAGCTTGACCTTTGAACTCAGATTCCTTATCCCTAAAATTGTCATTATGACCCTAAGCAGCCACCTCAGGAAAGGGCTCGCCTGGCCCCAGGCGTGTGGAAAAGCATAAACACGTGTTACTAATGGTGCAGGGGAGGACTTCAAGGAGAGAGTGTCCTCTGTCATCAAGGCTACGTGCTTACACACGCACATACAGGAATGTGCACACTTACTCGTTTGCAGACATATCCATCCATGCACACAGACACAGTCACACACACAATGCACTCACATACACTCACACATACCTGCTGGGAAGGGACACCGCTCTGGCAAAAGGTTGCATCTCATGCCGTCTATTGAGTGACTTTTGTGTTTTCTACTATTTTATAACTTGTTATGTATTTTAATAGCTTTATTGAGGCATGATTTACATACTGTAAAATACGCTCGTTTTAAGTGAACAAGTTAATGCATTTTACTAAATTTACGAGTTGTGCAACCACATCTATCTAATTGTAGAATGTTTGCATCACCCTGAAAGAAAACCTCTAGCCTGTGTGCAGCCACAAACCTACTTTCTGTGTCTGTGGGTGTTCTCTTTTCTGGACGTTTCGTGGAATCATATAAGACGTGTCCTTCAGGTTGGCTTCTCCAGGGGAACATGAGATTTTTGATATTCGTCCTCGTACTGGTACTTTATTCCTTTTTATCACTGAATGGTTTTCCTGCATTTTTTTGGTGAATCATGTACTTTATGAACTTATGTTTCAGAAGCTATTTCCAGAACATTCTTAGCAGGCCCATCTCATGATAGAAGAGGAAGACCAACTCTCCAGAAGAAAGAGAACTGGGCAGAGAAGAAATCTCAGGGCTCAGCCTGTGAGGAGGCCCGGGCAGGGGCTCTCAGGACTGTTCAGGGTTCAGGGCAGCCACCTCCTTCTTCCCTCATGGTATCCCCCTGCTCCTCCGCAAGCCCTGAGATCACAAACTCTAGTAGATTTTAGCACATCAGCAGCTTTCAACTTGGTCAGTTCAGAAAACAATAAGTGTTCAGAAGTCACGTTTATCTGGGGGCCTTGCCACATTTCTGTTCTCTCAAAGGAGAAAGCTCTGACCTTCTTGAGAAGCCAAATAACTGTGGTCCTTGACTGATGGAAGGTGCGGTGACGGGAAGCAGCCCTGGACTGACAGAACATGACGGTGGAGCCTCTGCAGCCTTCCCAGGAAATGACCTCGCTCCCCATGACACAGTGCGGTCACTTCACTGGCCCTGGGACTGACACCAAATTGTGGATCCTTGGGAGACGTCTGGAGGGAAGGCAGGATCTGGGGCAGGAGACCCCCTATGGTTCAGAGCATCTCTTAGTTGCTCTTACCAATAAGAACGCAGGGGTCTCTTCATTTTTTTTTCTTCTCACTAAGGTGTTTGGAGCTCTTCTGCTAACCGTCACCTAAAACATGCCAGCCCCCACACAAGCAAGTGGGGCACCATCACCCCACCGGACAGAGGAGAAAACCGAGGCCAAATGCATCAGGCCTGTGGGTCATTACTGCCCAGGGGAGGCTAACATTGGTCCCGGCTCTCTGTCCTTGGGCGAACATTCTACTTCTGTGTCCCTCCCTCCCCAGCCTCGGAGGCTCCCTCCGACTGTCACTCTGCCCTCTTCCTGCTAGCTGCTGTGTGCTTTGCAGAGGCGCGGTGCTGCCTCCCGTCCTCCGTGTGCTCAGACACTCGAGGAAAGGAGCATTTGTCACCGTCCTGTACTGTAACAGCATCGCCGGTGACCTTCAGTCAGCGGGTCGCAGGCCGTTGGAGCCAGCGAATTGAGCAACTAGGAGCACACGTGCCAGGATATCCTGAGATCCAGCGTCTGTTCTCCGGGGCTATTCTGCCTTTTTAAGAATTGTTAGGGTGCTGGCTAAAGGGATGCACGTATGTCCCGTGATGAATTTCCTGGGACCTGCCCTGCTGCCCCTTGGGGAGCCTCTTGTGTTTGTCAAATAAAAGCCTCTCAGGCTCGCTCCAAATGGGGGACATCTCGGGACCCTCCCTGGACTCACCTGGTAACAGGAACACCCAGCGTGCTGGCCAGGCCTGAGGGAGACGGAACGTCCTCAAAGGGGGTCACTCGCAAGGTTAAGTGGCCTCCTCTGGGCCCCCACCCCTTTGATGCCGGGCCTGGAGCCGCTGTTCTTCCCAGCGGGTCAGAGTCCCCAGGCATCAGCCCACCCCCGCTGGGAGAGGATGGCCGCCGGGGCTGTGCTCCCCGAGCGACCCGCCTTCACCTGCAGCAGGTATCACCCTCTGTGGGGCAGGGAGGAGGCGACCCGAGGCCAGGAGCCATAACAGAATTGTCATCAGTTTCCGCTACTAGAGGGAATCAGAGCGAGTTTGTTTTGGGACTGGTGTTTCTACCTCAACGATTCATTTCCATGAGCAGACGTGAGCAGGATGGTGCAGCAGGGGGCCCAGGTGTACACCCCAGTACTCCAGGTGCCCTTCTGGGTGCTGTGGGTCCTGCGCCCATTCCCCCACATCTTCTCCGGGAACCTCAGCGGAGGCCCTGGTTCTGGCGCCTGCGTCTGGACTTTTGCGCAGCCCTTTCTCTGGTTCCCTGGGAAGGAGGAGGAGGGCCACCCAGCCAAGGCTGTGGGGGACTGCGAGGTGGTCCACGGGGGTCGGGTCAGTTGGAGGCAGAGAGGGCGGATGCTGGCCTGACATTGTTTATTTGCATTCCAACCAACCTCCACACGTCCCAGCTATTTATAACCCTGGACCTTGTCCTGGCACGGCCGCTGGCTGGATTCCTGGCCCCGCTCGTCTTTCGGGCATTTTCCCAGCCAGGAGCTCAGCAAGGCGCCCGGTCCCCAGGAATCCTGCAGCTGGGTGAGTGTGGGCGTGCCGTGTGCCCCACCAGTGGCCAGACAGGGGGATAGGACCCGACAGGTGGTAACACATGTTCCCTGTCCCTCCCAGGGCACGCTGGCTGTCGGTGGCTCAGCCCCTCCCTGGCCCTGCCCTGACGAGTTCTCTCCTACAGGAGGCGATGGAGGGGGTCCGGTCCTGAGACCCTGCGTGCAGCTGGCGGGAGCGGCCCTGGGACAGCAAGATGACCACGGAACACAGGGATGTCCTGGTGCTGCTGCCCACGCGGGAGCAGCTGCGGCTGGTTGTGGGGGTGAGCATGGAGGAGAGCGTGGAGGAGAGCAGGGGCCGGGGTGACCATGAGGTAACCAGAGGGTGAGCAGGGGGTGACAGTGGGAGAAGTGGGATGATGGAGCCATGTATCCAGGGGTGACCATGGGGACATTGGGGTCCGTGTGGGGACCATGTGGGGGCCGTGCATGGCCAGTGTGCTCACTGCCCTTCCCTCTTTAACAGGATCCTGTTATTTGACGCCACACTGACCGCCCCACAGTTAGAGAAAACTGACTCTGGCTCTGGCCACCTTCACACAGTGTTGGTTTCCCTCTCGCTCTCCAGCCCATGGCTGTGGCTGGGCGCTGAGCACTTGCCCAGTCCACCAGTGTCCAGTGTCCTGGGGCTGAGCCCTGCCTGGTCCCACAGTGTCAGTGTCCTGGGGCTGAGCCCTGCCTGGTCCCACAGTGTC